AAAAAAAAAAAAAAAATACAACTTTATTTCCCCAAATTAAATGAGATGAAGAAAAAGCTTTCCACTGTATAAACTTCCTTACATTCTTTTTCAGAATCATAGAACTTAGGCTGGGTGCAGTGGCTCACACCTATAATCCTAGCACTTTGGGAGGCTGAGGCAGGTTGACTGCTTGAGCTCAGGAATTTGAGACCAGCCTGAGCAAGAGTGAGACCCTGTCTCTACTAAAAATAAAAAAAATCAGCTGGCATCATGGTAGGCACCTATAGTTCTATAGTTCCAGCTACTCAGGAGTCTGAGACAAGAGGATCACTTTAGGTTGGCTGCTGTGAGCTAAGATGATGCCACAGTGCTCTACCCAGAGGATAAAGTGAGACTCTGTCTCAAAAATAATAATAATAATAATAATAATGATAGACTCATAGAATTTGGAAATGTTGCCAGGCACAGTGGGTCGAGCCTGTAATTCCAGCACTCTGGGAGGCCAAGGCAAGAGGATTGCTTGAGCTCACTAGTTTGAGACCAACCTGAGCAAAAAGCAAGACCCTGTCTCTACTAAAAATAGAAAAACTGAGGTGGGGGAGTGCTTGAGCCTGAGTTGGAGGTTGTTGTGAGCTATGACACCACAGGACTCTACCCAGGGCAACTTGAGACTTTTTGGTCTCAAAAAAAAGGAAAAGTCTCTGTCTCTCTCTCTCTCTAGAGAAAGAGAGAAACGTTAATAATAAGCTATCCAAAATAGCTGACTACACTTGGGGAGGCTGAGCATCACTTGAGGCCGGAATTCAAGTCCAGCCTGAGTAAGAGTGAGACCCTATCTCTATAAAAATTAGAAAAATTAGCTGGCTGTGAAAGACTCACTGAAAACGCCACCATCTCAGTGAGGTCCTCCTTGATTGCTCCAATTAAAACATTCTACCCCACACCTACTTCCAATATTCTCTATCGCCTTTCTTTCTTTTTTTTGTTTTAGACCAAGTCTCACTTTCTCGCCCTCAGTAGAGTGCTGAGTGCTGTGGCATCACAACTCATAGCAACCTCAAACTCCTTGGCTCAAGCGTTTCTCTTGCCTCAGCCTCTCCTGTAGGTGGAACTACAGACGCCCACCACAACACCCAGCTATTTTTGGAGATGAGGTCTCGCTCTTGCTCTGGCTGATCTGGAACCTGTAAGCTCAGGCAATCTACCTTCCTCAGCCTCCCAGAGTGCTGGATTACAGGCAGGAGCCACTGTGCACGGCCTCTCCTTTTTTATCTCTCCCATAATACTCATGGCCATCTGACATATTATATGTGTATTTTTTTTACTGCCTATCTTACCTGTAAGTTTCATAATGGCAGGAAATTTTGTTTCCTCGCTAGTGTATTCCAGAACCTAGAATAGTGCCAGGAACATGGCAGTGAAGGAAAAGCTATGTGCATCCATGAAACTTAGCTTCCTCACCTGATAAAGAGGCATACTAGTTCCTCTTCACCCACTTCGCTTTCATTTGGAAACCCCTCTAATACCTATTATGGTATTTTGAAGACTGTTCAAGTTTGTAACATCCACCCTATGTACTTTCTACGCCATCTGCATTCTATGGAATACATAATAGAAGCTCAATGGACAGGCTCGGCGCCTGTAGGACAGTGGTTATGGCGCCAGCCACATACACCAAAGGTGATGGGTTTGAACCCAGCCTGGGCCAGCTAAACAACAATGACAACTGCAACAAAAAATAGCCCAGCATTGTGGTGGGCACCTGTAGTCCCAGCTACTTGGGAGGCTGAGGCAAGAAAATCGCTTGAGCCCAAGAGTTTGAGC